CTGCTTTAGAGAAGAGGAAGAGAAAACTAGAGGTGCACGTAAAAATCTATTCATATATGAATCGCGATTCTGTCTTCTAACGATTCTAATGGATTCACAAGTTTCAAAATCAATGTTCAAAAACAGCGGTTCTCAATACTGTTCCTCACGTCCCCTGCTCTGCACACGCTCTCCATATCTCTCTCTCTCTCTCTCTCTCATTCAGCTCAGCTTCAACAATGAACTTACAATTATATACTTATTTTCACATAGTTATGAGAAGCGTTAAACATGGACACAGCAAAAGGGGCGAGGCCATGCTGTGCTGCTTTAGAGAGGAAGAGAAAACTAGAGGTATATACTAAATATACAAAAACCGTATATTAAAAGCTAACATAAGCAGTAGCATTTACAAATAACAGCATATCTAAAGGTATGAGACAACAGCAAACAAAAAACATAGGCCTACCATTAAAAGCCGTGCTTGCACAGGTTCTGCACGATCCTCTTCACTAATGTCCTCTGCTTCTCAATCGAGCTCAAACTGATAAGAGATATTAACAATGCCGTTGTTTACGAAGCGTTAACACATGTTAGTCAGGCACCCCATAAACACAATCAAGCCTAGAAAAAACCAAGTGAACCACCCCTTTAATGTTAATCAAAGAACAAAAGAAAATAATTCACTGATCTTGACTGAATATATTTAATAACTTTAATTGATTAATCTATATTTTATTTATGAAAAGAAAACTATGCAGCGTTTTTAAACTTTTATTTACAATTTCTGTACCTGAAATTTTGTTCAGTTGTATTTATGATATTGCTAAATGATTTGTTTGTTCCTATCTTATTACTGACTGTTTACTTGTCTTTAACACTTTAATATTTTAAATTTATATTAATCTAGTTGTTTTTGCTGTGGTATTTTATTTTTTAAAGCATAGGCAAAGTTCCTCTTGCAGCGTTCTGTAGGCTGCTGATTTTTGCTCGTGTTATTCAGCTGCAACAGAATGCTTTGTAAAAAGACAGAATAAATGTTTGACTTAATTTTTTTTATGTTGGATTTGGAATCGAAACTAGGAATCGATAATCGGAATCTATAAAATTCAAACGATACCCAACCCTACGGGTGACGGAGGCGGAAGCACCGACCCGGTGTTTACAAAGAGAACGTGCAAAGAAAGTCAAACTCCATTTACAAAACAAGGTAAAACTACGATGTCGGACGATTTTGAAGCTGGAGGAGAAAATGAGATGAAGTCCTACCCGACCTTTCTGAACCGGAGCACACAGACGAAGAGCAACCGCGCATGACCTTTCCAATTGCTTTCTCTGCAAAAAGATTCACTGTGTCGAAGCGTTCGAAACGCTGGTGACGCCTGCTGGTCAAAACTGTGTAAATGCAACAAAAACTCAGGCCAAAACATGCATAAAACAGCTTTTACAAACTCAATGCAAATGCTTTCTTGAAAGTATATATTAAATGCAATTAAAATAAAATACCAATAAATACGAAGTGTCTGTATATTGTGAACTCGTATGAACTCGATGGAGAAAAACCCTGAAATGTTTTCCTCAAAAACCTTCATTTCTTTGCGACTGAAGACAGAAAGACATGAACATCTTGAGTGACATGGCACCGAGTGACAATTTTTATTCTGGAAATGAACTAATCCTTTGATCTCGTTTTAAGTATATTTTATGATGTTTTAAGAAGATTATTTTCATTGTTAAAATGCTCTATATGTTATGATTTACAGCTGTACAAGTTTACTCGTGGTTCAGTGGTTGATAAATGTAATCATTTTATAAACGAGTTTGTAAGTGCACATCATTGCAACTTCAGATTTAGTTTCTTTCTTGATTTATTTAGTAGAAAGTTACAGCAAATTAGCAGTTGTTATCGATTTGTACACACACACACACTCTCACACTCACACACTCACACACTCTCACACACACACACACACACACACTCTCACACACACACACAC